TGTGTGTGTGTGTATATGTATGTATGTGTGTGTGTGTACACAATGTGCAGAGCGGGTGCAGGACTGCAGTACTTTGGACAATTTTGTGTTCAAAGGTCTTCAGTATCTGCTGCAGGAATGTCACGGTTGTCCTGATCAAGTAGGAGAAAGGTCACTGTCCTCCAGCTGACCCTGACACAGCCGCTGCTCAGTGTGATATAGTCGCCTAGTACTGGACCTCTGTCCTCAATCAGCAGGAGGCAGAGAGAGAGGCGTCTCACTGCTGTTTCACCTTCTACATCTGATGGGCAAACTGAATGAAGTCTTTTTATTCTGAGTAGTTCTTCTACATCGCTTTAGTAAAGAGCATAAACTTAATGCCCCAAAAGTTATGAAACAGAGTTAATTAAGAAACAATTTAATGCAGATATGTGCTTTTACTGTCCATAAATCAGGGTTTGTGCAGGTTGAATTTAAAGACCATTTTGATTGCAATTGAAGACCAATTTCCACCCTGATGAATAAACAACATTTTTGCAGACCTGCATGCTGTCAATTTCAATATGTATTGCTCAGCAATATGTATTCATTTTAACTTCAAGTTACCCAGAGCTCCAAAAGCATGGACGGATGGAAAAGGCCTGAGACGCATGTTTCTATGCTTTCTTTACTAGTTTTACTGCATTTAATGAAGCCTCAGTATGCTGAGCAGCTGTCATATGAAGGAAAAACAAACAAAAAACATATTGGATTTGGTTGGCAGATACTCAATATCAAAAAGACATTAAAGACTGATCATGAGCAAAAAACAGAACAACAACAATAATCAGGACATCTTTTAACTGAACTCTGCGACTTTCCAACAGAAATTGTTCACTTCATGTGGAGGCTCTGAACCAGGAGACCCTGTGATCCATCCACGTCTAAAGGTAATTTACTGTGGGTGTATTTTACATTCGCGACACTTACACAACTGTAAGAAGGGTTAAGATGGATGATGGCAGTTTCCACAGCGAGGTCTATGGGAGTTCATAAGGAACAGTTTTAATTTCACTCATTCAGTTCTAGCACATCGAAGGATGTGTTTGGTGTCTGTCTGGGGGTCTTTGATAGATGTGTGCATGCTTACCCTCTGCTCCAATAGAGACCAGTTTGACTCCCTTGCTGGCGATGAAGTCCAGGGCTTTGTTCACATTGTTGATCTTGTGGACCCTCATCTTGCCTCGCTCAGGCTTGGGTAACCGTTCGCCTGCAGATATAAACACACACACAGACATTAGCTCCTGCGGTGACGAGAGCTGTGCATGTTTCCACAGGCTCAGCAGAACGACGCTCAGTCAGGACGGTTGAAGTTACAGCGGGGACGTTTGCGTCGCTCACAGCAGAAAAACTGATGTGAATGTGAAAAAGGAAGCCACATGCAAGTCCAAATTTCATTACGGGCTGACAGCAGTTCAAATGATTCTCTACTATGCCAAGAGAACAGTTTTCCTGCTACAACCTGCAATTAAACACAAGAAACCTCAAGAGGAACGCTGTCATACGCTAGCGACAGATAAAAGCAGGGTGTTCCCGATGTTTTTTTAAGTGCTTGCGACCCAGCTGAGGTTGGAAGCTGTGAGCGACCACACCCTGGATTGGACAGAGATGTTGTGCATCTTTAACATCTAAAAAACAGTTTGGAGTGACAGCTCAGACAGCTTTGAAACCCAGGCCACTGCTCGGTGACATACGAGCGTGTTTGTGTGTGGTGGGCTGGACGGCTTACCCTGCGGCTTCTGTGTGAAACATCTCAAATCATTAATCGGGTATCATTAAAGCCATTTTACTTTAATTAAAAGCCTTCCTGCTGAGCCTGATTTCCTGTTGTCCCCTGTGGTTTAAGGTCGCACAGATGAGTTACCTGAGATGACCTCTAGCAGCAGCATGAGTTTGAGTCCGTCCCTGAAGTCCTCCTCGATGTTTTCGATCTGCGTGCCAGCCTTCCGCAGGTGGGAGTTACACCATGCCGTGAACGTCTGCACGAGAGGACACAAACAGGAGACAAACAGAGATTATTCAGAGCCTGGGCCACAGTGTTTTTCCAGATTTTATGACAAAAAAACACTTTGAGTTGAGAATAAAAGAAAATGGAATTCAATGGAGAGGAAGGGAGGTCAGGGAGTTGCTTTGATAAGACAGGAAGTAGCAGAAGAAAAGGGGAGGAGACAGATTACGATGTTATGTTACGATACAATACCAATGGCAACTGGCAACAATCTCAAAGAACAACTTAAACTATATGTCACAAAGATGAAAACGTGTTTTTGGAAGATAAAATGAATAAAACAACTAATTCACACTTTGGATAGTATAGTATAGTAAACACCCACCGTCTACGACAGCTGTGCATTGTACAAAAAAAAAAAAAACATCTGGTTTCTTTTCATATTTTTCTGTCATTTTGTCATCAAATTCTTGTCACTCAAGTTCTGAAATCATTTCAACCCTGAACAGAAAAACAGGGGGCTCAGTCCCGCTATAAACAACAAACAAACAAACAAAACAACGCCGTCCTGTCGAGTCCGAAGCTACAGGTATGTCCCAAATATTACAGAACCATCACCATTGAGCCTGAAAACCTGACAAACAGACCCCCCCTACCATCTGAAAGCCAGACAGGCACCAAACTGTGTGACACTTAAATCAAATATCAGGATGGTGTACCAAAGACAAACACAGGCATCTGAGAACAGACACACACCAGCACAAATCACACACATCAATAGCTGGTTGGAATCCATGTTTTTGTGCTTGTGGTTAGCCAACATTCTTCAGAAATGTGTTTGGAATTATTTTCATTATGAAGGAGTTTGTGGCACTGAGGTAGGCACGGGACTGTGCGAGGCTGACTACGCGCTCTGTCACGCCACTCTTCAAAACGCTCCGTTATGGCACATCATCAGTCAACATGTCAAAACAAAACTCTTTTTTTTCTGACTTGTTACATAATTTAGGGGAAGCGCCGAAAAATGTGACAAAAATACATGTTCAAGATCCGACTTGCACACGCTCAGTGTAGCTCCTGTCACTGGCACTCCTTAAACTTTTTCAATGTCCATCATATGAACATAAAAATGTTCCTACAATGTATTTCTGAAAGCTTTCAAGTTAATAAACACCAACCACAGGGTTTCAATTAACAAACAACTGAAATGTACACATAACTTTAAGAGGAAATGTTTATGTGAAGGAAAGAGGAAGAAGGTTAAAGTATTTTCCCAGCAGGAACACACAGCTTGAAAATGACAAAGGTAAAACTGACAGTAGCACTGAGACACCAGTTCTTCACAAAGAAAAACTGATTAAAAAATAAGCAATGTGTTATATATTCTGCTATCATTATCAGGTGACTTTGCTGCTCCAGACACAATATTTAGCTGTATCTAATCCAGTTCAGTACATTTTCTCTTGCTAATGTCTGAGCATACTTAAAATACAACCTGTGTGTCTTTTAAAATAAATATTGTAACGATAACAGTCTAAAAAGTCTGTCGTTTTTTATACAATTATCCGTACTATGTAAAGAACGTGTGTACTTTTGCCTCCTCTGGTACCAACGGTTGTGATGTGAGGAGGGGAGATTGATCGTACTGTGATGTTTTTATTGGATCTGGTCTCCATTCAATATAAAAATGTTATTAAATATCCATATATATGGACTGGGAAAATAAAGATGTAGGACGTGATAATGAGAATAATACCACCAGTCACTGAACGTCTCCTCAGTATTTGGATTCAGAAATATTAAAGAAAATATAACTGCTGAAACTGACTGATGTGAATGAGTATCATTCCAATTCACCTCCCTCTTTTTCTCCCCCTCTCCTCCGCTGTGTGTTAGAAAACATTATGACAGGGTGCTGCTCGCTGCCCTGCCCCTCTCCCCACCGGCCCACCGGCCACCGGCACAAAGCACCCATTGAGCCTCGTGGATAATAGCACCCTTCAGCCCGCTGTACTCTCCCTCAGCCCGCTCTCGCTCTGTGACCCTCCCCCAGACCGCCCGATACCAACCCCCAACTCCCCCAACACACACACACACACACACACACACAATTATATATATAGAGCTCCCTCTCTGAGACTGGACCAGGACACACACAGTGAGGACAGGGAGGAGGGAGGGACGGGAGATACATTTCACATAAACAAACACACTACAGACAAAGTTAGGGGGCAGGAGGGGGAAAGATAATGCCCCCACTAACACACACACACACACAACACACAGAGTTAACGACAATGCAGCAGGAAGTGGCACTGCAAGTGACAGAAGTTTCTTAGTTGAGCAAACAAACAGAGTGAAGCTGCATCCTCACTGCCACTGATTCACTGCCACCGCACCACAGAGGCTGGAGCCAGACGGGGGGGGGGGGGGGGGGTAATATGTGATCTATTATTACTTATGATTTATCCAAAATGGATAAATCATTCATTCAGGGTTCGTATGACACACTCAGTAAGGGATAACTGACAAATGTAGGTAAAAGTTCCCCAAAAAACTAATTTTCTTTCAAGTATGAATCCATAACATCAATCTATGGCGTTTAGTCCTGATCAGGCAGTTATATGTAACCAATGTAGCAAATGAGATTTGGTGAGGAAGTGCAAATAAAATGTTATTTTTCTTTTACATGTATTATTTATGCTGTTAGATACAGAGATAGCACTGGGTCAAGTAAGCCCACTTTCCCTGGAGGGAGGGGGTGATATGACCAATGAGCTTTTCTGCGTGTTGAGAAAAAGAAAGTGTAGGAATGTGAACTATACAGAGGCTCTACTAAAACTAGTAAAGTGGGCTATGTTCCAGCGGGGCCGCTGCCACTGGGAGTGGTGGCGACAAGAGAGAGAGCATAAAAAACAAACAGCAACAGGTTGAGACCTGCAGAGAGCCCGGGGACTTTATGTCCCGTATAACACTGCATGCTCCAGATTGTACAGCGGATACACTTTCATCTGCTCTCTCCGGGGTCAGAGGTTAAACCCCCACGTTGTCGGGCACTGTGAGTCTTGCTCAAGGACACTTCAGCCTGCCTTTATCAGAGCTTGAATGAGGCCCGTGCTGAGAGAGAGCTGTCCGTCAGGCTGTTCTGGGTCTGTGACAACGAGGAAGGAAAAAACTTCTGTTCAATTGTGTTCAGTTGGCTTTTTGTATCGGGGAAATGCCTCTGGCTACCTTATGTCATTCAGGGGCAAGGTGTGGTGTTTGAAACTGGCCCAGGCACGCACACACAGACTGAACCCTCCTGACTGGACACTGCAACAATCCTGGTTCGAGATTTTCCTCCCACACGCCCTCATCATGCTACATTTCGAGTCAAATCCATTATAAAACACATCGATTGAAGTTAATACCCACAGTTCACTGCTTTGCTATCAACATCAGGTACAACTAGGGTCCTCAGCCAAACGCCAAATAAGGGATGAGTAATCAGAGTGTAGGGCTCAGTTTACATGGCTGTGTTTCTTACGTGTACCAGCTGAAACTAATCTGACCCTCGCTGTCCACTGTTTCTACACAATGTCTGTCTAAGTTTTTGCCATAAGAAAACCTGCGTTATAGGTCATCAGAGATGTGGCCACACATTGCTGATGTTAAGCCACTAAAAAGAAAACATGGCGGGATCTGAGCGACCTCAATCCTGGCTAAAATAGATAATTATTTTTAGCTAATTAATGCATGATGCAGTTTTAACATGTTAACATCACAAGCTTTACTTCGACTCTCTGTTTATGCCCGCTCTCAAATTTTATTAGTAATAGTAGTTTGCGATATTGAAATCAATATCCTTAGGTTGAAGAGTTCCTTGGTGAAGTGACCGAATTAAAAGTGAACTGGCTCTAATTCTGGGAGAGAGCGACCAAATAGGATGAGTGCCAGGGAAGCCTGTTAAATCTGTCCATGTGGCCGTTCTGTTGGCTACACAGATCAGATCAGATGAGGATTTCTGACCTGAGCTGAGGACACAGATAACAAGCTGAATGCTGTATGGGCCAGGAGAGAGCAAAGCTGGAGCCGAGACTTAAGGAGGTTTACATTTTAGGCATGAAGCCCGTGCTCTTATCCTCTCATATCTGTTGCATAACTGTTGCAGCCACAGTGAAGGACATCCTCTCAGTCAGGACCCCGCTCTGATCTCACTGTTTCAGGTCACCGTTTAACACCAACATGTAATCGTGCTGATGTGTTTTAAAGCTGCTTTGGGTAATTTTACACATCAGCAGCTCAAAAAGCCTAAATATTTGACTACCTCTGAACTTTAATACCAGAAAACCCTGCAACAGGATTAAACTGCAAACTGTGAATAAACTGGAGACCAGATGGTCCGCAATCATGAGGAAGTTACAAGTTTTTTTATCATTTCTCTGCACAAACATATCCATACAACACCTCTGTTCTGTTTGAGTGGGCTGCAAAATGAATCGACATATTATTCAAAGTGCAATATGCAAATGGTAGAGGCAGCTAAAATGTATTATAACAAAGGACTGTAGTTCTGAAGAGATTCACTGGCCTACAAATCTTTAAGAAAACAGAACATTCACACTATCATGATTTGAATTGTTTTTTCAGTGAAAATTTAATTTGTAAAGCAAAAGTTGTCATTCCCACTACTGATGGAGTCGTATTGCAATATGATTTTACATATCGTACAGCCCAGTTTGAACCAGTAGCTGCGACATTTCTCTGCTGCAGCATCAGTGTGTGTTAGAGGATGAGAAGGACGTTTTTTTTGTTTTTTTCAGAAATGTCAGCTTTGATGAAACTGGGTCACTCCAACTTTCATGAGCTCATCGCCTGAATAAAAGGCTGCGCAAATATTTAAATCATTACCTGTTTATATCTCAGGGGTCTCCATTTGTAACAGTTATCATTTTGTCACATGAGGGCTCTAAGCTCATTATCCATGCAAATGTGGCATGACTGATTCCATTGATTAGTTCGTTTTTCTTACATCTATCAGAGTAGGCAGAG